CGTTATTTTCCATGATATCGCGAATAAACCACATTTTTTTCTTAAAATGAGGTTGATATCATACAAACTCGTATCTTCCACAGGAGCATATAACATCGTTTCAGAAACAGGTAGCTTGTGGTACATGACATTATGGCTAATTATCAAATGGAGAAAATGAATGGACTTTTTACTTTCGGAAACCACACAGCTTCCTTTCTATTATTCTATTTTAAGGAAGTGCAACAAATACATACTCGGGTAAAGCTGTACTCTTTGTACTAGTTCATTTTATGTAAAACTGACCAAGAGAAAAAAAAAATACCTGGTTGTTAACTGTGGAGTCAACACCTCAGCTGATTTTGACTGTAATGTGTGTTTGTGAAAGACAGTGAGTCACAAAAGGGAGGTGACTGTGAGTGGTTGGACAGAGTCCTCGCCTCTTGTCGCTTTGGAGAACATGAATCAGCTCTCAGAAATAATCTTTCTAAATATATAAAAGGTGCTTTAAAAACGTGGATCAGATGAATGATTATAACACAACTAGCAAAGAACAACTATGAACATATCCTCCAATAAAATAACCATATATATGCATAATAATCAAATAAATAAAAGAGGGCGTTTAGTGATTACTTGCACAATGTAAGCAACAAATTAGCTCAGGGTTTATAATGTAAGCTGTACAGAGCTGTAAACAACTTCAATACTGTACTACTCGCACCTTTAACCCCCTTGTTTCAGTTATTTCCTGGGGATTGCGAATCAGCAGTACAATAAGGCTCACGTTAACCAGAAAGACCACATTAAAGCTAAATAACACAAGTTTGTCAGCTGATACTCAGTTGAAACTAGTGGATAGAACTAAAGTCTGTGTCCGATTTATCAGTGATTGAAGCAAATAATGTATGAAGTCTGATTTCCACACACGCAATCTGTAAATGACAACCATGTCTGAACATCTCTGATCATGTAAGCCAAAGTGCAGTCACTTGTTTTTCACACCTAACCAACATGTTAGACTGCATGTGAGTATACGCTATTATTCCTTCATCCATTGTTTTATCTGTCACAGGTCCACCATGATGACATAAGATCATATCAAAGGCTTATTTTAAACAATAGGTTATCTAAATCGAGTAAAAGAAAAACTTAAATATGGTTGGATAGAACAAGTTAAAATGACAAACTGACCATTCTTCGAAAACAAACTTTTCTTGGGACTCTAAAATACTTCTACACAGTCATTTTTTCCTAAGAGGACAGTATGAAAGCACACACAACACACTGGTCTGCTGATATTATCTCAGCTGTGTCTTTATCTACCTTGCTGGATGGAAACAGTGACACAGACATGCCATGGGAATTTGTAAATTAAAGGCATTATAAATAGATCAATGTTTTACATTTGGTATCAATGACCTTGCTGATATTGAGTATTAAACACCTGTTTGGATCCTGATAACGTACTCAAGAACTAGAAATGCTTTTATTTCAAACGTACTCATTAAGGATGAACTGTCAGGATACGTAAGTCACTTCCTTGTATTATTTATAGAGACAGGAATACTACATTCACTGGAATAGCAGCTGATTTATCCTCCCTTGTAAAATACAGCATAAAGGCACCTGGCTCACAGCTGAATATTAATAAATCTTGTCAAAAGATGCAGTAAGACAGCGTCTCCTCACCAGCAGGTAGGAACATGTTCTGTTATCCGTACATTTAAGATGTAGACAGAACGTACAGATAGTAAGAACAAAGACACTCCAGCAGACACGAGTACTTCAGTGAGAGATGAGCTTCCAGCTTTCAGCACTCCACACTGATCTCTCAATTTATCTTGAAAACGCATGCTTCCTGAGAGCTGAAGATGGCTATTAATCTTATTGTGGCACACATACAAATCACTTTGCTCCTCAAGACATTACATTTGGACCTTAGTGTGTCCTGTTTAACTTCAACCATTTGCACTGGTTGAAAAAAAAGAAAAAGCCTTCCTTGTTAGAAGTTCACTGGCTGCAATCTAACAGCTGCCCTAAACTTAATCTACATAAAAAGGTACTTTGGTATGAGCCTGATCCCCATATGCAGGTTTAAACTAATCACTCAAACTGCCACCAACAAGGATTTTAATGGTTTAAAGTGAAGCCAAACACCAAGGAAAAATGTCACTATACGCCACCAAAAATTCACTTCCTGTCTTTACATGTGCTCAGCCGCACGCTCCATTGGCTGGGCCCAGCCCTGCTTTACTGGAATGCAGCTGACAGACAAACAAGCCTCGATAGCACAGTGTCTTCACAGAGGGATTGTATAGAAGGAGACTGACAGGTAAAAAGGTATTCATCATTGGCTGAGAATACCAATGTAGCTGCTGCAGTCACCTGAGCTAACCTAGCACACGATAAAAATCCCCAGCCAATGTGGCCTTACGAAAAAACCAGGAGGGCAGTGTGTGTGTGTGTGTGTGTGTGTGTGGGTGTGCCCCAGAGAAGGAAAAGGGGAGGTTGTTTTGGCATGTTTGAAGGGGCGAGCGCTGATGCGGAATGGCAGCAAAGACAGACGGCAGGCTACTCTCCTGTGCTCAGTTCAGAGCGGGGAGACACAGCAGGCCTCCGACAGAGCACATTTTTATGGGAGTGTCTGTCTGCTGGAATGCACTCTTCTTCTGCTTGCGGCCAGATTCCACCGCTCATCCAGGCTGTTCTTGTGGCAATTTGATTCTCATCAATACCAGCCTTCCAACATGACTAGCAATTCTTAAGATTGGCAGGCTTTGAGCATTGAAAATGGCCTTTGAGGTAAATCAATTCCAGTCCGGAGCACTTTGGGAAAACATTAGTCATGGTGCAGCCAAGTATACATCCATGCAGCTGAGCAGTAATGCATCCAATCAAGAGCTGATGTTACTTTCGATAATGTGCTTGGCGCACTCTTTCCCCACCTCCCCCGTATGTCACCCCAAACAGATAAGCAGGTCTCGACAGGGATTGATTTTCAGTAGACGTCCATTAGACAAATTATCTACTTGCCTCAAGTCCTGCTTTGGTTAAAGAAAATACATAAACAACCGCTATGCATTTACCAAACACAGTAGACCCCAAGTAAGTGATCTGTTTGACATGTTTGCTACTCCTACATGTACCTGAGCAGCACCTGATTAAGCTTATTTGGCTCAATGTGTTGCTCCTGTGCGAATAAGTGATCTCAGCAGAGTCAATATGGGTAAAATTGACGAGATTACAACCCTGGCTGCTGAGATTATGTTACTGCCTGGAAACTAATCGAGCTGGCTCCACTAATAATACCTGACTTGGATTAGCAACTGAATTGGACACAAGAACACGTTACAAATCAGTCCACGCTGCTGCTGCTGCTGCCACCAAGCAGTAAATGGCACAACAACAAAAAAGGCTTTGTTATAATGAAACATACAGTTCTGGAAAGTAACACAGAGATCAAGTAATCGTTTCGTATTTGAAAGGTAAAAAACCCCCCTGCGAGTTCGTTAAAGGTTATAGGCGTTAGCGGACGTCATTATTCAAAGCAGAGGTGCCAGCCAGGCCCAAACCAAGCTTGTCTAGCGGAAGCACAGCTCCGCGCTGGTTTTTTTTTTTTTTTTACGCTACATCGATATTACAGCCTCCAGCCATTGCCTTGATAAAAAAAAAAACACACATTCAGGTTTCTTAAATTGGGCCCCATAGTTCTCAAATATATGCCGTAATAATATCATAACTGGGTCCAGTGTGCCAGCGCCTCTTCCAGACGTAGAGCTAGCCGTTAGCTTGCCTTGCTATGCGAAATACCTGTCCTGTCGGGGTGTTCAATTCATTCACAAAAAAAAAAAATGTGGAAGGGTGTCATTTTCTACCAGAGCAGAAATGAGAGCAGCCAGGCTACAGTGAAAAGGAGGTGTATCAAGACTATTTTTTTTTTTTTTACAAAGAAAAATACAAAAGGAAGACCGTTTTTTTTTCTTACCTTGTCCAGACAATTCACTTTTTCCGTGGGGTAAACGACTAGATTACATCTGCCACACAACGGATTCATGTTGGAGGAATGCTCTCTAGCTAGTTAGCACGGAAACCGCCGATGATTTCTGTTTGTAGCCGTGTGCTGTCGGGTACACACTTTAAAAAAAAAAAAAAAAAAACTAGCTACAGTGAGTGATTATGATCAGTGTAAGAGACCAACGCTAATCTTGTTGTAAGAAGCAAAATCCAGGAGGTTGTTGTTGTCGTTGTTGTAGGCGCACAGCTGGCTGTCAGTCCACTAACCAGACACGGAAAGCGCGCGTCCGCGTCCGCGTCCGCTTCCCCCCCTCCTCCCTCCTCCCTCCTCCTCTCTCTCTCCCCTCCCTCCCTTCCTTCCTCAGAAGCGCGTGCTCGAGCAGAAAGGGTAGAAGCAGTGTGGGAGGTTCAATATTTGGGAAGTAGGGTTTTTTTTTTTTTTTAACTACATCTAGACATTTTACACATTTAACAGAACCGCCATTACTTGTGTCTTGCTTTAAAAAAAAAATGAAGGGAAATCGTCTTTGTGTCACTGTGAAAGAAATCGACTTCGATCTGTGAGCAGCATTGTGCAAAAAACATCCGTCCTCTTCCCATCTGTGCTTGCATAGCAAACTCATGCGATCATCTTGCTCTTCATAGTGGCAGGTTTGTAAGGGGGTTTTACCAATCCAGTGATCACATTTTACACATCTGCCACGTTCACTGCATGCCCTAGTTGACTTCAGGAGAATACATTTGGTTAGGAGGACACCTGCTGACCAAAGAGCAGTATTGTATCCTCTTGTATATATTTTTTCTTTTGAGATTTTCTCTTGATTTTGGCATTGATGTTTTGTGAAATGTCCTCCTTTTTTGTTCTGTACAGCATTAATATTGAACCAAAAGCATAAGCTTTGTAAGCTGCTGCATTGAAACAGTGTAGCCTATATGTTGTTGTAAAAGAGAAAGTGGAAACTTAAAATAATCAAAATCACAAGTTTAGGGTTGTAAGCCTTGTGGAATTTATTGCAGTAAAATTTGAATACAGTTTAATGAGACAGAAACATACATTTCTACTGAAATCATTCAATATAAAACAAGTGTCATTATCTAGCTAAACTGATGCAACAATTCATCTTTTAGAAATGGAGTCTTGAACAGTGTGGGAAAAAAAAAACATAAACAGTATGTAAAGTTGAATTGTAATGGGAATGTAACTTTGAAAAATAAATGAAATGAAGAATGCTAATATCCGGTTTCTATTTCATTTCCATCAATGTACTCAACACGGCCCGGCTTCAACAATGCAGTCTTTTTCATGACCGTCTCCTTCTACTTCTGTGTAACCAGGTTGTGGCTTTTGAAACTTCAAAGAAGGCCAGTAGTTCTTGCGTCTCTAAAAAAAAAAAAGCACATACAGATTAGGTTTGATGTTGGAATTGTAAAAGCACTCCTTGCTCCTTTCAGTGGCAGGTGTGCGGATGTGAAGGATGCGTTTAGTGCTCACCTGAATTAGGTAAAGTGGCGATGCAGCAGTGGGATGATAGTTGATGTAAAGAGCCAAAAGTATCAGAGCCAAAAGTAACACCAGTGCAGCTGCTATGCCAGCTATCAGTCCTGTGTTAGCCAACACGTGGCTCTTGGTTGAGGAATCTGTCCTTACATCTGTATTAGAGAGAAAGCCCCATAGTTGTAACCATTCATAAACCTCAGCTAAGATTGTTTCCTCAAATATCAACTCACCATTTCCCGTCTTGAATATATGACGTTTGGTCTCATCTGAGAGAAGAAGGTGAGCAGTTATGTTCTGCTTATTTCATGGCATAATGTGTTTAAATTGTAATAAACTAATGTGGTTAAATAATAAATACATTGTGCCAACAAATCAGCCTCACCATCACTTATACAGCCTTTTTGTAGGGGAGTCATGGGGTCCCATCCTCGATCTCTGGTATGATAGATGAACCAGTGGAGCTGTCCGCCCTGGAGTAATCTTCGCAGGTTGCATCTTTGCTCTGCCCATAAACAAACCATGAGTCTCAAAAACAGCAAATCAGCAGGTTTTCATTAAATGAAATTAAATGAGCCCAGCTGCTATACCTCTTCTGAACAGGCATAGTCCAACCATTCTTGTCTGTGTCTGTCCATGCCATCTGAACACCTAAAACTCAAAACATGTATATTTAGAAAGGTCGAAATTGCTCTGTCAACATCTGGGCTAGGCTAAATTCACACTCACCTCTGGAGTACATTGCACCAGCTGCAGCCAGAGGTTTGGTCTGACGAGAGGCAGAGCTCACAGCTTTCATGTTGCAGGCAGGCTGGACAGATAGAAAGCAAGAAACTTAGTTTTATTGTTCGAGTGTAGTGTAACGTGTCCTTCAATACGTTTCCAGTGATGAGGATTAATAGATATCACTTACTAGGCAGTGCAGTGAACTCAACAGCAGAGTAGCTGGTGATTTTTGTTGTGTCAACATCAACCCGATGGTATTCATAAATCTTCTGTCGTTCGCCTTCTGCGTAAGAAACATCACAGGATTAAATACCTGGATGTTTAAATAAGACTCTTATATACTCTAAACACATCCATGGACAGGCATAAGTATTATTTCTGACCTGGGGTTGTGACCATGAAGGCATCAGACAAACCCGCCTTCACAGGATGCTCAGCTGAACTGATGACATCTAACGACAGAGGAATCTGGCAACAAGAAGAATGATATAAGGAAGACAGCTGGGTTTTAAAATGGATTATGTGAGCAGAGAGCAGGGGTGTTTCTCACATCTCGATAGCTGAACGTGATGGCTCCTGTCTTGTGAAGAGCGGCCTGAAATGTGAAGGCTCCTGCTGACTCTTTTCCTGGGAGTCTGACCCTTTCCCACTGGACTACAAACACCTCACCTACAGACAAGGGAAGTCAAACAGTTGTTAGACAAGTAAGACATTTAATCTGAGGAACAAGGCCATGCTTACACGTTGTTTAGCAACGTACCATTGTCCAGGTATTGCACAGTGGAGTCTTTGGAGTAGCTGGGGTCAAAATTGCCCATTAGAGGGGCGATGTACTGTGTTGCAGTCAGCATACGGTGAGTAATGTCCCCTGTGAAGATGAACCCTGATGGTAAAAAAAAAAAAAAGATGTTAGTGTAAGTTGTTACCTTGCAAAACAAAAATCTCCTCTGCTCTGAACACATGTAGTTAAGGTCATTTGAACATCTGTTAGAAAAAGGAAATGTACCTCCTGTTGCTATGGTAATCTGCCTCAGGTAATGTCCGTAAAAAGGAAAAGCAAACGACAGGGCAACCCTCTGCAAAGAGAGGAGATAGAACAGAAAGTGAGAGAAGGTGATATTTAAATATGGAAAATCCATAATTAACAGATGAAAGCTTCTTGTTCTGATATAATGTTTGTATTGTATATAATATAAGTATCCTCATAAGCTCTTTGTATCACACTGACATTAATAAAGAAGCTGTAAATGTGTATTTGTATGTGTGTATTATTTCTCTCATTAAAGGTTTCTCTTGATACAATCATAACTCTTGCTCTTCTAGTTTCTCCATCACCTGTATATGAAGGCTTTAAAGCTATAAATAATGAACATTTCACACTAAGTCAAACCTTGTTTTTGAACACTTGACATTGAATGCATTTACATTTGGCCTCCTCTATTTGTTTGGAAGAGGTGGAGTCTGCCAGTGGACCAATCACTTTAACTAAATACCTTTACAAACAGTGATAATTGCAATACAACAGTTACCTACATACAATAGAACTCTTTTCAAGGCCACGCCCCACTCTGTGAGAATATTTTGTCATGGTCATTGGAGTTTGGCATAATGAGGGGGCACCCGGATTTGAACCGGGGACCTCTTGATCTGCAGTCAAATGCTCTACCACTGAGCTATACCCCCTTACAGTAATGTCCCGTAAGAAGGACTTTTTCACACCAGCAGTCGCTGCCCTTTTTTTAGTTTTTAGTTTTTTTCTCAGTATACAGTCTGATGTAACTCTTCTGCAACCATCTAGATACAACATGGGCACTACTTTGTCTTGTAGGGGTGGGTCATTGTGGTTACCGGGTTTGACCATCTGAAAACAGATATTCTGCAAAAGAGAACCACAGCAACATCCAAAATTATCAAAATTTACATGATCAGTCTCAGGACCAAGTGAACCTAAATGGAAACAGACCCTGCCTAACTTTAAACCGCACTGGATTATGTCAAGTGTGGTTTAAGATTCAACAAAATATACAAATGAACACCGTCTCTTTATTTCCAAAAACTCAGGGCTGTTTTCCCTTCCTTTTATAATGTGATGTTGCTGTTGCCTCACCAACTGTGTAACCTGGGTTGGAAGTTTCTGTGATGCCAAATCCCACAGTATCCATTTTGATAATCCTTGGTTTCTCAGAGTACTGGTGTTTTCCTTTTCTGTGCTTGTTTCATTATATCCCTCCATGTTAAAGTGAGCTGTGTGATTTGTCCAGATGTTAACCAGTAAAGGTCAAGACTTTCAGTGTGCTGGAACCCTTTGGCAAGTCTAACCAGAATTCTTAAAACAACAACTCCACATCCAACTGCACACAGAGCAACAACTACAAGGCACACAGACTTGGACAGGGGACATTTTAGTCTCAATTCAAATATTTTACTAATGAGCTAACCCCTGTGATCATCCTGTTTCTGTATTTATTCATACTTGTGTAAATGACAAAATGGATGTAAATATGTCTTACTGATTTTCCCATATAATAACACAGTGTATCTTCTGTACTCACTATAGTTTCTTAATATTGACACACAACACCACTGTAAAAAGTGAAAAGGATTCGATCTCTCGTTTAATAAATAAGTCAGTGAGTTTGAATTGGATAAGCACGCGCTGAATGCTTTATATAGGGGGAAACCTTGCTTTCAATTGATGGCCCTGTATATAACCATATGAATGAAACATTTCTAAATGTCTTCTAAAGAGTACTTTAATCAAACTTGTTATTCAATGAAGAAACATCTCAGTTGGTTTATTTTATGTTTACAAAGATGGTTGCTGAGATGTTGGCATGGCACATATAGCATGACAATGGGATTTAAACTAAGGGTTGCTTAAACTCTAGTGGCTAAAGAAAAAAGTGATTTGTTTTGTGTGTGAGACTCACCGCAGCTTGTTTGTGTGAATTAGACAGAATGCCATGGACTCTAACTTGGCCATGTCGGACGTCACTCATATCCACCCATAGTTCCTTCGTGCGCTGGTCCTGTGGGCCGTAGCTGCGCCATGTGTAATACTTACCAGAATCCTCCTTCCAGACAGAAAAACACAGAAAATTACTGGTTTTAATGATGTGACTGTGTTCAGTGTGTCACACTGACATCAATAATTCTCTCTGCTTGTGGTTAAATAATATAATGTCATAATGTTCTCCAAGTGGGTGAAAAAGAGGGAATTTTCCAAAAGAGTTCTGTGTTTAACTTCAACTATAATAAATAGAAAAAAGGTAGAATCATAGTAAATGCCACACGCCATTATTGTAAAGACAACCACTGTGGTGCAGCCCTCACCACTACACGTGTCAAGTTGTTTGGCAGGGTGTCGATGGTGAGTTCTCCACCCAGGACCGCCCGGCTTATCCTAGCCTGGCCTGAAGATGACCTCTGAGGTCTGTAAGGAAGACTGTCCTCTCTGGTCAACTCTCCTCGCCGCTGTGAGATCACATTGTACCATTTGTCTGTCCAAAATAATAAGTGTCGGGTTAGCATGCTTTGAGGTAATGATGACAGCATTAAAATCCTCCTTAAAGTCTAAAACTAGTCTTAAACTGATGCGTTACACCAAAGCTGTTTACTTCCCCAGCAGCATCAGCAGTACCACACCCTATGATAAAATAGTTCTAAAGAATAATGTTTGAAGTTGCAACACAGCTTTCAGTCAATATGCCAAAAAATGGAAATATCATTTGCTTCAGAAAAAGTAATTATTGGCCTTGTCAGGTAAAGCCCATGTTGAAAGAAGGCTAAAACAATTATGTTATAATGCGGTGATGTTGGGAAGGAACTGTCAAACCCAACAATCACTGCAAACCATATTTAGTAAGCAAACTGGGGTAGGTAGACTTTGTTTGAAAGTTTTGGGGGTTTTACTCGACAGCTTGTCTTTATTTTAAACCACTAAAACGTGAAGCCACATCTTCCTAGTTTTTGTTTGGAGTTTAATAGAGCACCACACTGATTTCCAACTGACTATGGTAAATGCATATGATAGTACACCTCGACTGGATTTTTTGATGTGGCCCTACAACCCCAGTAATAGTAATAGTAAAGCAGCAGTTAAAATAGTTTTTTTCCCCACTCTCTTTTCCAATATTTTCTGTCAAAAGCCCAAATATAATCTTAAAAAAAGTAAATGTATACTTTATTTATAGTAGACAACCAATATGCTTAAATATGTTGGCTATCTGAGCTTATCATAGCCAATAAAACACATCTGCCTGTCTATCTAGCCTTTTGGATTGCGCCTGTTTTTTATGTTTTGATTGCGCCTGTTTTACACACATTACGGAACACGACGTAACGACGTCACGCACCAGCCCGTGTATATATAAACTCCAGACAGCGCCGTTTCTCGACGGAGTGTCTCATCTAACCCTAAATATGGGCGACCTCCTGTCATTGACGTCTGCTGTTTTCGTCTCTTTTAGCTTTCAGTGGACGACAGGAGATGTGCGAAGTGTCGCTGGGGATATTTAGAAAAAAAAAAAAAAAAGCCAAGATAATCACTCCGCATGTTCAGTTTACTCGTACTGAAACGCCGTGATTGTCGCCGTGGTCAGCTTGGCTGCCGCGAAGAGTTCGTCTCTGCTGCTCCGGTGTCTTCATGTTGGGAGCACATTCTGTTTAACACAGGCTATGGTTGGTCTTATGGACAACTGAACAGATTAAACTGAGCAGGGTGATTCAGCCAGGTCTTCACTTTACCCGGTTTGAAAGCCCACGCTCAAACACTCATTAACCTTTTTAAGTGTAACCCTGTTAATCTTCACTCCTATCTGTGCGAAGGGGTTTTCCTAGACCATGCTGGAGCTAGCCAAACTTTACAGCTAACAGCAAGCCTGCTACCTGCTGCAACTCGCCCCCTAAACTGCTGGGGGAGGGAAACTTATGAAATACTAAACTTAAAAAAAAGTAATTTGAAATGTTAAAAGTTTACAGGGTTAACCCGTGAAAGTGCTCACTAACTCTCTTAACTCAACATACTTATTAGGCTACAAGATGAGTGTCGTGTTCCTTTAATCGGATCACCCCCCCCCCCCCCTTTGTCTTTTGTGTTAGTCTTCCACACCTGATTCAAATCAATTGAAATGACGACTGAGTCCCCTTGTGCATTGATATTGCGGGTTAAGATTGAAACTGAACCCTGCCAAGTTACTCAGGGTTTGATGTAATATGCTTGGGAAATGGCTGGGGTGCAAAATTTCCACCAGAGAAGGATTTCATGCTTGAATTGTATTAAATGCTTAGCAAAATAAAACATCACAGAATGAGAAAACATGACACCGGCTTTAGTTTATTTAGGCTGAGTGTTGGTGGACTTCCAATAATTCTTTGTGACAGAGCTGTTGCTTGATGTGTGAATGAATGCCCCTCGCTTAGCCTACCTTGTGAGTTGGAGCGATGAAGAGTGCACAGGGAGAAGTTCACTTTTAGATCTGACGAACATGACAATCCCCCTTCAGCCAAACGCACATTAAAACACATGTTTTCGTCTGTTTTTCTGGAAAGAACATGTTAGCGAAGCTTGTTATTTTTTATTTACTTCAGGTGCTGGACCAAACTGACCTGCCATCTGAGTTTGACTGTCAAAAGATTGCTTTAAATTCAGCTGTTTCTACACATTTTTAAGCCGAAAGACACACAAAAAAAAACATATTTGCATGCAGAAAAACCTCCAACCCCTATTTTACCAGCCCTTAATAAGAAAATTAACAAACATAAACCTCCTTGGAAGTTTTAGGCATTCATAGTTGAAAAATAGTTGTAGCACGTAGGGTGGTTCAACATGAAAAACTGGATCATCCTCAAGATCATAGATATGAAAATTGGCATATTTAGCTTGTAAACAACTTTGCATGGGAACTAGCCAGTGCAGCTTTTCTTCTGCCATGGAAATGTTAGTTGACAGACACTTGTTTGATGTCTGCGTTTTGTCCTGAGTGTGTTAGGGCATGTATTGTGCCAAACCCCCTGAGTTTAGATTGTGTGGGACATATGCTGGCAAGGCCTGCTTTAAACATCGCTCTGCATTTACACTGACATCTTCCAAAGCCATCAAAACTACAATGAGTCAATAAACGAGTTCCTGAAGTGACAACCCAAATGTCCTGACCTCATAGGGAGCACATTGTGTTTGTTCATGTATGTTTCCCTCCACCCTTTGATTCAATTAGGCAGTGTCTCAAAGCATGCGCTGCAGCTCATAAATTAAACCTCGATGTGTGATTACTAAGTGCTGGACCCGCCTTGTCATGGCATGTATGAGGTAAGAGGAGGAATAGCGTGGTGCTTAATTGTTGAAGTATGCAGTGTAGCAGATAAAAATATTCAGATTTATAAAACTGGGGAGGGGTGCAGACACTTGATATGAAGTGGTTTATGATATTACAATATCTGCTCAGATCATCTGTCATCCAGCCAGAAAATATTAACCAAAACAATGAGATGGCAGTCACATTGTCTCGACTGTCAAGTCAAAACTAACAAAAACAAATTTTCAACTGATCCATTTTATGAATTTTTCACTGGATTGCAAATCTGCTCCCACTGCTGGGAATTTAAAGTGCTTCCCAAATATCACATTGAATACAGTAACTAGGTTTGCGGTTTCAAAACTCTCCATTTGAAACTTACAATTGACTGCAGACTAAGAAGTTAAAGTTCCCCCTTACTTTCCTTTGTAATATTGAACTTCCAAATGAAAAGAACTATCTCTGATATGGTCATATATTTGACCATATTGTATTTTAGTACTATGTACACAATATTATCTTTATTGTAGGAATTTAACAATTATTCAGATGCCTCCAAAAAAAATCCTGATACCTTTAAAGGCAATGATTCTGAACCCCTGGCCTCATTATTCCAATGAATGAATAATGATAATAATAGAAACTTTGAGAATTTCTTCCCATATAAAAATATATGTTTGGAATCATTCAAATAAAACAAGTTAGACTTTTAAACGGTGGTTTGATATTTACAAGTGAGAAGTTCAAAATCTCATCTAAACTTAAAGCTAACTGTTGTACTGATTGAATGGTCCACGCAATGCCCATTGATGTAATGCTTCAAATTAAATTCCACCCAAAACCCAGTGAATCAGAACTGGACCTTGACTTTTTTCTCTCGTTTGCCTTTTTTTTTTTTTTTTTTTTTTAGGCAAACAACAGGGTGGTTCTTCAAGTGGAAGATAACGCCTAAGGACCAAACCTTAGTGTTTTCTACACTGGTGTAGAAATGGTGTTAGTGAGTCAGAAAGTGATTCAAATGTTAGTTGGTTAAAACAGCCCATGGTCAAGAACACTGCAGCTAAGTTTTTTTGCAGTAGAAATATATACTGTTGCAGGTAGAGACTTCCTTTAAGAAGTCCTTTAAGTCAATAAGATGGTGCAGCAGATGACATGACACAGGGGCCAGTTTTTTTTAATATAGGCAATGAGAGGGCAGATGTTTTGGATAGAAAACTGACCTCTGCCCACTCTTTTAGGAGCTACCAAACCACGACGTTTAGTGTCCTTTTTTTGTGAGCGGTCAGCTCCGAGCAGTCTGAGAGAACACACCCTTCCTGAGCAGAGGCTGGAGGAGCTGGCATGCACTCGCCAACATCACCCGCAATCAACATGTCATTTCAAGGCTGAATGTGCAAATCTTTAGCTCCATTCCACTGAGTAGACTCCATCCATAATAACACCATTTTGGTCGAGAGCGGACATTTTACTCTATAAAAATGTGCATTTGTAATTCATCTCAGTCAATGAAGACTGGAGAAGTTGTTTGTGGTGAAAACCTTTGTATGTATTTTGGCGAGTAAAGACGCAGCTGACACACTAAAAAGAACAAGTAGGATTAATTCATTGAGAGGAGCCTCCTTTTATAAAGAAACAACAACTTTAGTCTCGAAGATTTAAAAAAAAATGTTTCAACATCCCTATAAGGGGGGAACAAGTAAGAAATGACAAAATAAATTCCAAATTTGGTAAACTCTGATTGCCTCTCCTGCATTGTTGAAACCAATTCTCTTGATTGGAGTTTAAAAGAATTGTTATTCTAAGCCTTTTCTTGTCTGATAAAAGAATTGATGAAAGATGCAAATAGTGTTCCAAATGACACCATGATTCAGATAACCAGTCGTTCTGCTGTTGGCAGATGATTGTTTCTTTTGTTCATTCCGGTTTAGTTTTCCTTAAACACAAGTTTTAGTTTAGCAAAATAAGAGTCATCCTGGGATTAACAGACAATAACAACCACCAATGATTCAATCTTACAATCCTTTTTCACTCTGTTTCTCATTCTTCCATGTTGTCTGGATCCGCTTCAGGCTTTTTTGTTAAGCAAACTTCTCAGCATGGACCAAAGACAGGAGGCCAAACAGGGAGGTCATCGCAGGGCAAACAATTCATTTTCAGCTTGAGGCTTTGTGTTTTTACAGTCTGGGTCAGATGGCGTTGATGGCTCTCCCAGGACCAAAATCATTTCTTAAAACTGAGAGGTAAACAATGTTGAGTGACACGGCAGATAAGAGCAAATTAGGCCCAGGAAAGGATGGTATGCTAGGTCAATGGCAACAACTAACCCCTTTATTATGGAAGCCAAAAGAAATTGCGGGGCAGATATTTGGGATGCAGATTCATCTGTTGCAACCCTCATCAGGAGTACTGCAGGACTGAACTTCTTTTTTTTTTTTCATGAATTACTGGAGGAGTTTGTAAGAAAGTGACCAGTCAAATTCCTAGGAGCTAGAAATAAATGAAAAAGAATGTCCAAAACACATCTCCTGAAAAACCTTCTACATCCCATCACTTTTTGAAACAAGCCCTTTGTCAAATAGTATGTAGAAACTGATCAATCCAAAATGTCTTACACAGACAAACCTTACATTTGTGTGCCAGAGTCAAGCATGGAGGCAAGACGAAAAACAAAGTCTAATTTTAAAACCGAGACATGGCTGTTTGTGGGTTTGTTGTTTAGACCCAGTCGCATGCTTGTGGAAGAGGGTGTTTTAATTGTGGATTTTATTATAAACTAGGTCACCCACTTTAGTGCATATGGTTTGCCCATTTGTCGCTCCATAAAGACGCTCGCTAAAGTTTTGTGGTTTAGGATGAGTTTAAGTATCAACAGTAGCATGCAGCAACAAGGAGAACATTATTTCAAAAGTAAATGGACAGATGGCTGTGCAAATCTTGTGCATGCAAAGCTATAATGGACTGACATAAACCTGAAAAGTTGAGGCATCTGTGTGTCTTTAAAGAGCAGACGGGATGCAGTGAGGACAGGTGGAAACATTTAAGCAGTGATGGAGGGAAAATAAACACAGCTCACCTGTTTGCTGTTGATCCAAAACTCTTTCCAGCTCAGTTTGGGAGACCCGCAGGAGCAGCATCACCAAACATAAAAACATGTTGGGCATCAGAAAGGCGAAAATAAATACACAGATAAATCTTCTCTAATTCTTTCTTCTCTTCTTCTCTTTGCAAAGCAGCGTTCTCTTAAGTCTAAACTCCACCCGTCACTCTCTTCCTCCGCTGTGATTCTCACTCCCTCCACACTGTTTCTAAGCACACCCCTTCTCTCCTCCTCAGTTTGTTACCATGGTGATTACAAAGACACAACGATCAGATGGAGAGAGATTGCAGCAGGCAGACCATGAAGCCCAGGACAATGAGTTATATCTTTGTGTTTTCTTGCGTCATACTTTCCGGAGGGAATTTAAAGTCCCAAACTCGCTGCTCATCTCCATCCCATTACACTAAGTGGTAAAATATGACCATCATGTAGATGTGTGTATATGGCGCCTCCCTCTGTCCAAAGCATCTGTGAGGACAGTAAATAATCTGACATCTGAGTTTAGACCTGGTTACATGATGCTTTCAATGCCAGGCCCCAAACAGTACAAGTTATGATTTATTACACATTCCATGTCACGTCCATTCATCACTCTTCAAAACATGTTGTCTCTATTCTAACAACAACCACAAACATGGTGCAGGAACGTTTCTTTATTACCGCTTTAATTCCCAAAGCCTCGCTTTTTTTTTTTTATAGCAAGTAAAACTGACAGGGAGTGAGTTTAACAAGCCCTGTGGCTGACTCCACCACCTCTCAGTGCCATGGCTTTTATCATTTCTATCTGTTTAGGAGCGAACATGGAATCCCTGGCAGAGAAAATGGCAGCTGAGGGTTTATTGGCCTCACAGCTGGAAAGACAATCAGTACCATGACCCACAATACAGAGCATGAACACAATGTACTGCAGGAGGTGAGGGTTTTCACAAGCAACTGTATACACTGTGCATGAAATTACTTTTATCTTTCACGCTCTCTTTACTTTATTTAAATGCACATAAAGTTTTACCAAAGACAAGGCTTCAATATTTGTTTGGCTAAAGGAAGAATGTACAAAATTTACAACTATAGTGAGGATAGGTGTGGTAGGATAAAAAAGAAGTTCATTCTTCAGTGTGAAAAAGTTGCTCAACAAAATGATTAATTCTATATTGGGAATTAGTGGAATGAATCCCTTTTTTAAAATACATTTTCTATTATTTATGAACATAGTGTCATAGGAATTTGGTGCTGAACTGTATCAAGTGAAATAAGAGTTCTCAAGATATGTTTGTGCACTCCAAGTTTAAAGTTAAAGAACCCCCACTTCCCTTTTTTTCCCTTTAATGTCGACGCAGATTGATTCACAAAGGCGGAAACCGTGAGATTCCATGAACTATTCATCTCCAGTTTTCTGGAAAGGTTACATAAAACATTTTGAAAGTTCAAAAAGTCAAAGAATGGTAAGGGTTAGTTACATCTCCTCAGCTGGAACATGTTAACCTGAATAACCTGCCTTGATGGAGCAGCAGAACTGACATAGCCAATATTATATCATCATTCACATCTACTCTACCCCTGGATTATATTGCAGTTCACATGGTCAAACTCGTTCATCATTGGAGTATAGTGTAGAGAGTAGTGTATGTATGTTTTCCATACCCATACTCACAACTATACAGATTGTTTTCTGTATATTATATCACACTACAGAGAATGCTGCTGTCCTGATTATGACCAGCTGTGGCTTTAGTCACATTATTACTTGATAAACCATTTATTCGCAATCATGAATGCTGACCACCATTGTCGCAGTTGATCTTTAGGCCTACATAAAAATGACCCTGGTTGATTTGTTTGCAGTGAATGGCATTTTAAAAGATTAGATAGGCCTAGTTTGTACTCTCTACAAACTGAAACAGTAGCAGTAACAACATCAGTCCACTAGCCTATTACATTTAGAAATATTTCCAATGGATATTAACAGTTGTAATAAGTATCAGAGAATAAAAATACTCAAAGACTAAGTGTGTTCAAACTGGACACTTGAGTTAATGTAGATTTTAAACCTCTCCTGTTAGGAGCCATCATTTTACTATTCATCTGAAATAAAAACCTGCCTGTCAGCTGCCTTCTTGTTTTGTGTCAACAGCTGATAAGTTGGCAAAACATCATACTCAGTAGGTTTTGCTAAAACTATGGGTAGACGATGAAAATACACTAACCAAAACACGTTTTTTTGGCCAAACCACGAACGTCTCCTCGAAACCTCTCAATTTTTTTCGAGCTTTGACCAAACCAAACCTCAACCAAAGTGTTACCAAAATCATAAAACGGCTTAAGATTTCTAGGGTGAGTATAAATCCATTCAGGCTTCAGACATGAAACGTTGTATTTTTTATGTATAGCCAATACTCTTACTTAATAAATAAAAAGTTGTTCAGAGGAACCTTTGATTCTATTGTAGCAAAGCTTGGTGTAAGTGTAAACATGTGGGCACATTCGCCCTCTAGTGGACAAAACAACGATGTGCTTTAAAACGATCAAGTCTAGACGACGGTTGTCGACAAAATGCAATACAATGGTAAAATAGTTTCTTAACAAATAGCCTACGCAATGCTACAGTCTCTATGTAACAACAACGTGTCATGACAACTTTTCTTGCGGGTTTGAATAATTGTGTTTCTGCCTAATGGGAGCGTGAGGGGGTATAGCTCAGTGGTAGAGCATTTGACTGCAGATCAAGAGGTCCCCGGTTCAAATCCGGATGCCCCCTATTTTTTGTTTCAGTTTTCGTCCGAAATCGGTCTTAATTCTCATGTAATGTTAGAGACATTTACTTGGAAATCATGGTGCTTTAAGGTTAATTTGACCTGAGATAAGAGAACCCCTTATTCATTGCTTTAGGCTCCATCATTTCTATCCCAGAAGAAAAACAGAGGTGTAGCCTTCTACTTTACCAGAGTAGTCTAGGGTTTCTAGAGCTTTTAAAGCTAATGGCTGTATAGGAAGCCTTTCAGAAAAATACTGTTATTATCCTTGTTAAAACAAAGACTTTCACAGCTGAAGAAAAACACACTGCATATTTTAAAAAAAACAATAATATTTATTTAAAAATAATTACACAATATGCAATTTATACTTTTGAATATGACTCATAGTCCTTAGCAGCTAGCTATTTTCTCTCTCAAGGAAATAGCTGTAATATGGAGTAAATTGTCCAAGTGATATTATTTCCTAAATAAATTACTAAACATCTTTAGGTAGCAAAAGTCTTCAGTTGTTCATTGGCATAAAATAGAATTATATACATCAGGAGTAGTCTTGTGTAGCAACATTGCAGAGTCTCTAAGTTGTTGTGCAAAAATCTATTCTAGAGATTTGATACTTGGGAATTAAAAAACTCCCCTTTTGATCCAAAAGTCGGTTTTAACTTGTGAGATGCTTATTAAGGTTGCAGAAGGACAGGTTCAGGTGCATGATACTAAGTTATCATTTTTACGTCAATCAAGTAAAGCGTGTTTCCACACTGGTATCCTGGCTTTGGGTCTTATCCTGTTTTGAATGAAGGTGAGTCCAGATTTCTGACTGTCTCAGTCACTATTTATAGTACCAACAAAACAGTGTTCATGTTTACTAAACTTTGACACCTAACTTGTATTCTCCACTCTCCAAAACCCCAATCATGGCCAGAATACTAGTGCACTTGTAAATTCCCTCCATAAGTTCAAAGTAAAATGTGGTCTTACCTGTCAGGTGAGATATTTAACTGAAACGTTGTACACCTCTGCACTTAAATAAACCTAAATGTACACAAAATACTTCCTAACTTTGCAGCAATTCAAACCACAACTGTGAAAGCAAGTTGTATTTAACACTTCAGAAATCTACAACCTGACTCTGAATTACTGACATTGGGTGTGTTAACTCGCTGTAAGGTCATCCATGTTACTCTGATGCTCAGGTAGCTCCTTGCAGACTCTCACATCGCTTGTTTGGGAAGTACTGAAGGTGTGGGGCGAGGTAGACTCTGTCACAGACCCCGATGTCTGCACAAAGCAATGTCACTAACGCACAGCGCCTTGTAGGTGGGCTCAGTTTGAGGAAGTTTGTTCCACTGCAGTGTTGTCTAGTTTGCGACAACCCGTGACTTCATCCAGTCTAGACTGGCAGGTAGACTGGGAGTGAAGAGAAAAAAAGTTTGTTAGTCATTTATAAGAACTGACTCATAAAGTCCTATAATAAAGAGAGAGTGTTGGGTGTGTTAGGACTCACCCCTCTCCCGTGAGGGCACAGCAGGCTTGAACATGCCAGGAGTGTGTTGTGATGGAGTCGAGCGTGAGGAACTGGGAGATCTCAGACGCCGTCATGGAGCCCTTCACGTCCTGTTTGTTGGCCAAAATGAGAACTGCGGCATTTTGTAGGTCCTGTGTCGAAACAAGAGAAGCTAGGTTACAGATTCAAGCTGAAATATTTCCATTGGAAACCACCTCAAAAAAAAATATCTCTGTGTCACCTTAGAGAAACGAGAACTGCAACGTCAGCGAAACATTCAGAAACGACATAACAACATGCTGGCTCACACAGTCGAAAGCTGAAACTTCCTCATCTACATTCGTCATGTGGTTATTAGCTATGGTGCAATAATTGCACTGTCAGCGGGAGTGTATCTCGCATCATGGAAACATGAATAGCACAATTGGGCAGATTAACTAAATACCAAATGAGTTTTAAACAAGGGTGTATTCAAATGGATCTATTTAAATCTGCTGTCTCGATTTCACGCCCTGGTTTAACTCATACAATGAATACTAATTTAACCTGATGTTACGTAAGGAGTGAAAAAAAATACCTCATGTGAGAGCATTCGGTGCAGCTCGTCTTTAGTGGCAGTGAGGCGTTCACGGTCCGTGCTATCCACAACCAGAATGACAATCTAAAAGAGAGAGAGAGAGCAGCAAAGAAAACAATTATGAGAACAAATCAACACATATCTTCAGGGCCTGTGTTATCAGGGCTGAGTAAATGATTTGATGGTGTCTTGCGGACATAGGTGAGACATTTGAAATGATTATTTAACCCTGATAGTAGACTTTAATCTTTATCAATGCAGGGAGCAGGGCAGGTGAAATAAAAGGCCAATGTGGGTTAATGTGCAGAAACCTATGAACTTCGAATGCTTTCTGTTTCTGTCTTCACTCTTGAATGTCATAACTACCAGTATAAACCGTCATTTTTAGATCTGATTTGAGATCATCCTCCTCAGAAAAGAGAGATTTGCTGCATCAAGAATCAGGAAAATCAGTTCAATGACAACTTGAATGGGCAGACTTTTCCAATGAATTCTTAATTTGTAGAATCCGATTCAGTATCTGATTCTTTCAGCTGTACATAAAGTTAAAAAGAGACGCTGGTCCGTACCTCTGTGTTGAAGTAGTAGGAGTACCAGCTGGCTCGAAGGCTGTCCTGCCCGCCGATATCCCAAACTAAGAAGTGCGTGTTACTGACGATGATCTCCTCCACGTTACTGCCGATGGTGGGTGATGTGTGGACTGCCTCCTTCGTCAGACTGTTTGTGTTAGAAGGACACATAAGAAACATTTAAATCTGCAGTGAAGATATCAGTAGTTGAAAGGCCTTATTGTTGCCCCTTAAAGTCACTCACAACTGATAGAGGATTGTTGTCTTTCCTGCGTTGTCCAAACCCACAACGACCACTTTGTGCTCTGCAGGAAAGAGTACCGAAAACAAAAAGTTTTTTAAGGTTCTTTCCACATGAACACAATTTAAACAAGCATTGCATAACTTTCTTTGAGTGCCTTGCAACGCAAAAGCACACACAGATAAGATAAAGAGGAGAGGAATGAGATATGCTGAGCAGAACAACATTTTGTATCGACAGTGAGGTTATTACATCACAACAACAGAAGTCCAGCAAAAAAAAGGTTGAACTCTTAACTCATTGTTAAGAGTATCTAATTATAATCTTTGTTAAATAGGCAACTTCTAAAAGTAAAGTTACACAGTGTTTCACAATGGAGGCAAAAGAAGAAGGACATGTTTTGAAAGTATAAACACTTCCAGTCAATCCAGTTTTAGCCAAAAATAGGAAATAACATTTATTCAGTATAACAACAGTTTAAAAAAGAATAAATACAAGTAAAAATGATGAAAGGCACTCTGATAGAAGACGTTTAAAAGGGGTTTACTGTTTACCAGTATAGGAATAAAATGATTTTTAGTCTACAGCCTATGTTGTGAAACATAGAGAGAGACTTCTTTTGTGACTATTTGTGATAGTTCAGGAATAGTGAGGTCAGTTATCATTGGTCAAGTCTTCTGTTTTGTTTTTTTCTTAAAATATTTACAAGCTTTGAAATATATATATTTTTTTTTAAGTCGCTAACAACAAAACTATTTAATAGTGATAAAGAAAGGTAATCCTACCTCTGTCACCGAACACAGCCAGCATCTTGGTGAGAAGAAATCCCATGTTCAACAAGTGTGTGTGAGCTGAGAGGAGAACAGACGAGCGAGAGAGATAAACTTCAGTGTCTGTGAACACCTGACTGTCACACATATCTCATATCAGTCTCTCAGAAAGCATAGCGAAAGTGGGTTGGGCTTCGTTAGAGAGAAAAAAAAAAAGTCTTTGGTATTTTTCAGCCACGGACAAAGGGAATACTAGTGGTGCGTTCGAGTGCTGCGGGAAATATTTGGGGTATACAGATCGAGGATTTAATCAGGATTGACAACAGAGCATAGTTGGAGTGATAATCATGTAGGCTACACTTATCTGTTGGGGTTAGGGGTTAGGGTTTCCATTTCCATCTATATTAAAAAGGAAATAATCTTCAGAAAAGGTTAAGGGGTAATAATGGATTTGAAGTGTCTAAAAATGTAAATTCTGGTTGGCGTTTTTTTGTTTTGGATTTTGAAAATTTCAACAAAAAAAAAATCAGAGAATCGAAAAAGACCAAGTGCTTTGAGTTTTCTGTTGTATCTTTCATCACTACATGATTTACACAAGTCTAACCCGAACCCTATGCAGTTTCCCCGTTAATTCTACCTGTAGTCAGTCTTCCAGATCTGTGCAACTGGCTTTCTACAGTTCAAGAAAAATGTATGAAAACAATAAAATAAAAATAATAACACCATTTATAATGTTGATGAATAATTTTAAGTAGGCCACACTACAAATCTTACCTGAGTCCGTAAAACTCAAACGTCTGAGCTTAGTCAGTAGCACTTGAAGGCAACATAGCACTCAGTCTTCCTCCTGTCACACCGACGAAAGGAGTGAACTGATGACGCAATGTATGACTCAGACAAGCCCCAGTCCTTAAATGGAAACGGAAGAAAAACTCCTTTCCTTCCTTCCTTGTCTCTCTCATTATTATCACGAGATTATCATCGGACAGAAAGAGAAGCTGTGCCTGCGAAGAAATCCCCGGACTGTCCCAGTAATTTTCAAGTATCTTACTTTCCCTTTCAGTTCCAAGAAGTACTCTCATAACAACGAACATGACCTCTGTGTATCCTATCTAAACATTACAGCTGCTTTCTGTTCAAGCGAGTACAGACAAACAATCTCAGTCTATTTCCAGTAAATGTCTTCTAAAAGGTTAGCTGAATTTAAGTTTAACTCTCTTTCCCAAAAATACAATATTATTTCTTTCTTTTAATAGTCAAAACTGATAGGCTACATATAAACACGTATTCCTTTATGATTTGTAATTACCTGAGTGTCTGATCACACAGCTTTACATTAGCCAACTTTATTGAATTATGCCTTTAGTTGTAGGTGTTTATTACTCTAATTACTTTTTCTTTAATTGGCAGTGTTTTTTTTTTTTTTTTTTTTACCTTAGAGTTTACTTAATGTTAAATATTTATACCTGGGAACATTCTGAAAAGAATGTGTGTTTTTTTTTAGTTTAATTTAGGGGCTTTTTATGCCTTTATGTTAAAGATAGGACAGTGAGAGAGTCAGAAATCAGGGAGAGAAGGGTGACATGTGGGGAAGGAACCACAGGTCAGATTTGAACCCTGGCTGCCCACTTGAGGGACTAAAGCCTCCGTACATTTATGTTTGCTGTAAATGTTTCCAGATCCTTACATTTATTTGTGTGGTTTTTATAATGCTACTTTACACACAGGATATTCCACTGTAGGTTATATTACATTTAATATTGTACGTTATACCCAGCAGTTAAAAACCTTTTTAAATACAGATTATAGTTTGAAAATATTTCAGTCTCTGATTTATAATTCTCTATATGTAGAGAACAGTAGACCCTCCCTGATTAGCTTGAAAACACTACATGTTAAAGCAGTAGGAATAAAAACATTGTGATCTGTGATCTTGTTTTGTGATATGAATGTGCTTTTTACCCTCACACGTTGTGAAGTAACCCTCTGATGCAAAGCTCACGTTCAGACCTAAGATGAAAACCACATCTTTGTTGTCACATTTTCTCCATCATCAGATCTGCAGATTATGAAATGATGAAAACCACATCTTTGTTGTCACATTTTCTCCATCATCAGATCTGCAGATTATGAAATGACAAGAACACTAAATGTGAGAAAACCACATCCTGTATTCAGATGCGTATTTCCGTCATAATTCTACAGTTTATTAAGCAAACTTCTAAAGTCCAAGGTGACTCACATCTGAGAGTAGAAACAACACGAGCAAGAATCTAGAGAGGAGGAAACAATGCTATAAAGCCAACTAGCAGTTTTAAGTCTGATCCAGATGCCGACAGGCAGTGCACAGAAGTTTTTTTTCATGACTGAAAAAAGTTGGCAGGTGTGACCAGATGTTCGACAATGTGAGAGGAGTGTTTTGACAAGTTCATACTTCCTGTAAACGCAAACGAGGAAACAATATAGTGACGACAGTACATTTGAAATGTTCCAGTTCATGTGCTTTGTGTTTAGTCACGCAGGTTAACACCTATCACAACACGTCGACTAGACCTATTCGAGCAGGGTTTTATCTGGTGTTGTATCACACAAATGATTGTATAATAATCTTTTCTTGTATCTTAATTAAAGGTGGATTAAAGGTGTTTTATGGTTTTCCCTGAACCTCTATGGCTTTATCTCCTGGGACACACACAAGGCAAAACACCAGGAATATATCTCTAAATGTTCATATGACTATTCTATTTTGTTAGTTTGAAGATAAGATTCACATTTTCTCCACATCAAAGTGACACCATTGCAATTTTCTGAATTAATTTTTAATTAAAATACGAATTTATCCACAGATTAAAAATGAAAGGCAGAAAAAGCAAAATGTAGCTACAATCAGGCACCAATGATACATGTTATTTAATATCTTTTAACAATTGCGATAACGCAACAATACATTATTTACTGATCATTATTTAATATTTATTAAAGTGAAGACGGGGCGGGCCAAAGCAGCCCACGATAGACATTCATGGATTCTCCATTATCGATATCTTAGTAAAGACCAAAGCTGATCCTAACCCCCCCACCACCACCCACACTTCAAACTCCTTTCACTACCGCACAAGAACTGGAGCTTTTTAAAAAAAACAAACAAAAGAAACAAAGAAAAACAAAAAAACAGCCAAATGTCCACAGGAAAAAAAAAAAAAAAGAACACTAATTCAGTCAGAAATCGAGATTAAAAGAGAGTGTATTGAATATCAGACGAGCTTGCCGTTTAGGTGGAAGTTGGGAGTGATCAACCACACACACATACTTTTTTTAAATAACCATTAGCCCTGAAGAACAGACGACGAAGCAAAAAAAAAAAGAGCAAAGTGCAGGAGCAACAGCACGTACTACAGCGCAGAGTAGCCGAGACACAAACACACACACACACACATACAGTATGGTATGAAAACATTAGTTAAGACATCCCACCATGGCAGTGGTGGACATGGCTTGGCGAGACATTCCGGCACTTGTGATTGGAGTTTTCTTGAACTAAGGGTGCTTTTTATTTTTTTTATTTTAAGGTGGGGGTGACTAAGGCAGGACACTCTGTTCACAAAACAACGACTGCAGTGCTGCTTTGAATCTGCACCAGACCAGGGGCCCTCAGCACCCACAAGAAGAGGGGAAACAGAAACAGAGGGGCTGGGTCAGACGGGTAGAGGGGCTGAACCATATGAGGGAAGAAGTAAACATCTTTGGAGTGATATCTTTTCAGCTGTCATGGGAGTATAGCAACATTGATAAATCGTTGTGTCAAAATATGGCAACTTCTCCACCAGCGTTTTAAGGTCTGGGTGATAAGGAAGGTGGAGGTGAGAGATTCAGCACTGAGTGAGATAAAGGTGAAGGGAAACCCTGACTCTGTACATGGGCGATGGGGACATTAGACCCTGTTTAAGACTGCAGAGGACAGAAATGACAGACTACAACAGCTCTATACCAGCTTTCACTCTACAACTGAACGAAAGGTCGAGTCATACGGATCACAATCATAGATTCACAATCGTAACGGTAACTGTCCTCGTGCTGTCAGTTTAGAAATCCATGAAATTCATGCAGTATTAACAAAAAGAACAGAAAACAGACCAATATTATTTTTTCTAAACATAAATAAATTGGATTGCAAGAATAAGTCAGTGAGAATGGCATCTGGCAGTTGATGTATTTCTTTACATTGTAGTGGGATGTAAACAGATTAATTTGTTAGCCTGACTGGCACACTTCAGTCTCCCCTCAGTCTGTCCTTAGCTTCCTTCCCGTTGTGGTGTGATTCCTTCAGCGGATGTAGACGTCCCTCCCCCAGTCGTCCTGGTTCTTGTTGCGGCTAATGTTGGCCCCTGTGTCCACAGGGTCCTGGCAGTACCGCTCCCTCAGCTTGGCGCGTCCATGCGACTGTGTCTGGCTCGGCATCGGAGGGTGGTTCAGGTTCTCCTGGTCCGGCTCGGCGCCCTCGTCTTCCCAGGAGGCCTGTCTGCCGTGATGCTGTGCCAGGTGGAGGCGACTGCCACCGCCGCCTCGGTAAGGCTCAGGCTCTTCGTAGGGGTCGGTTTCAATGTCCATGCAGGAGTCGCCGGCCTCGGTGTAGGCCGAGTCCCGGCTGCCCTGGGTCTCTGAGTCGAAGGTGTCTTGCCTGGACAGGCCCCGCCCATTCCCTCCCCGCAGCTGACCACGAGAGGAGCGCATGTATGTTTGCTGCTGCTGCTGCTGCTGAGGTTTTCCTCCCAGGTCTGACTGATAGTCATGCAGGGTGTCGCTCCCTCCACTCTCTTTTAGTGGCCCCTCTCTCTTCTGCTCACCGTGCACCAGGTACGGCCCCTGCAGCCAATCACAGCCATGCAGCACAGCAACCATGCAGACACACACAGCAGAGCAAAAACCAAAATGTCAGTGTAGTGAGGGTAAGTCAGCAGGATTAGCAAGAGACAGGCAACACAAAAAAAAAAACGATTCCACTACCTCATACCTTAGGTTTTCAAAGCATTAGTGGTCATGACGGAACTCAGTTTGTTTTAAACACACAGCCCTGGTTTGCAGCATGCACATACACTAACTTGTACTAAAATGAGTCAAAACAAATACAAAATTCCTGTTAGCCAAACAAATTAGTTCTTTTTGATCATTATGACGACGTGAGACCCATACAAACAACCACAAACACATCCAGGCCTCCATTCAAGAAGCAGACTAATTGTCTACCATGACAACAGTGCCACCTTCTGGCAGATTGACATATAGCACACATAGCAGACAATAAAGGCAAAATACCATTACCAAATGGTTATATAACTATTTGAACTATTTAGCACATGATGTTCATACTGACTTATTTTGTAAATGATGAGATCTATAAGGTTCTTATTCTGGCTGTTATGTTCTGTGTGGATTATTTTGGTTGCCTCTTTAATAAAAGCCTCAATAATTACATTCTATTAAACATGTTTTATTCCAGCTAGTTTGTGCATTATGCAGGCATGCTGTCAAAGGCATAACTACCTCTGACAATATGAAAAAAAGCATAATTTTTGGGAAGCCAGCAGTGATTTAGTAGATGACACTGAGGCTGATTAGTACTTTCCTGTTAAAATAATTATGAAAGATTCGAATTGACAGAGTGTTAGTAACAGCCTCCACCAAAACCGAGCGTTTCTGTTTGAAGAGGCGGACATGACTTGCTGTTTTCAGGGGCGGTGCCATGGCAACATGGCGGAGGACGGCAAACTGGATTCAGCCTCCCAGGGAAGTGTGCAAGAGAAAGGAGGCCACAGAGCTTAAGAGGGGAGAGTGGGAGCAGCAGGTATCATTTTACTCTTGGTTATGGAGGGTGCCCCCCCCCCCCCCCCCACCGACCGAGGGCAGGCGGGCCTTAAGGGTATTCCTTAAGTCCAGTGTGGTTCTGGTGGAGTTGCTCTCAGGGTTTAACTCAGGGAACTGGATTTTGTGTGAGGGACTTGAAGTAGCTCACTTATTTGTAAATTCCTGCATAGCTGTGTTAGTATGAATGTATTTTGTGTTTATATGTACAGCATAAACAGGGTTTTAATGCACTTTTCCTTCAGGGTAAACAGAGCGTGCAGCTAGTTTGAGTTGCCGGAGTCCCCCCCCCCCCCCCATAAACACTCTGCAGGACTTCAGAGAGTGTGTTCTTCGACTTTCACTTCGTTCGCTACAACACCGTCCATGTCAGGCCACAGATCCATGTTTCTGCGCAGGGAGGTGAGCACCTGTACCTGCAGGTTGGAGACAGGCTCGGGGGAGGCAGCCAGGGCGGCTGTGGCCATGGTACGGTTGAGCAGAGGGTTGGGAGGGTTGCTGCTGGGGGGGTGTGTTGCCTTCCAGTACGCCTCCAGATAGTCAGCCAGGTGCTCGCAGGCGTCTTCCAGCTGGTTCTCGTCCAGTATGATGTCAAACAACTCCTGCACATACAAAAACAGTTTTTGGTGGTTTTACGGAACCAAAACCGTTTGTCCTGATTTAAGAGAAAATAAAGTAACTGTTCTTAGTTTTATTGCTACATTGACAAAAAGCAGAACTCACAGGTGGGCACTGGGCCAACTTGTCTGCTGCAACCATCTGCACATTTAGGTGTTTAGCCTGGGACTTCCCCCTGGATTTGATGAGCCTCTGGAGGACCTGCACAGACATAGCAGCACTTAGTCAACTAATAAACAATCATTAATGTTAATGTGCAGGTGCACTTGGAAATAATGATGTCTGCAATTGAAAGGGACGCTGTTTGTAGACGCATAATGGCAGCGTGTAATCACAAGAGTAGAACTAAAGGAGTGCCAAAAGACTTTCCAAATTGAATAAAATACTTTGTTTGGTCTAATATGCTTCAAAGAAATATGAACTGAATCATCTCATGGCTGCATATCAGAGTGGAGATCAGTCCTACAAAGAGCTGCACTCAGTCAGAACTGGAAAGGAGGGGAGACGATGAGATGAGGGACAGAGGAAGTTTGCTACAGAATCTTTTTTTTTTTGGTCTGAGGGACTGGTGCTCTTATCCAACATCTACTCAGAAAGACACCAATTATATTTTTGCAAAAAAACGACATAAAAAATGAATACACTTTAATAATGTAGATTTGACCACTGGTGTATTCATCTTTAATTGTCCTGTATCTTAATAATGCAAATTATTATTGCATCCTTAAATTTAAACATTGGAAAAAATTTAATAATTTCAAATGTACAAATTTAGCGGTGTATAAAGCAATATTTTCATGCTCAGATTTAAATCATTTGGACAGAGGGTATTTTTAAGCTTTAATGTTTTTTTGTTTTATGTTTATATTTAAGGAATCAGACCAGGGTTGGTTTGTTGTTATTTAATAGAAGTAACATAGATGGGCATCTTGAATCTAGGTTTTGAATGTCAGACCTCACTTCTTACTATGAATAATATTACTAAGAAAGAAGTCATAAAAGGATCAACGTTGAAAGGCAAATGCTAAAAATATATATGCCAACCATAAATAGAAGCAAACATGGGTTTGATTCAATAAAATCTTCAATCTAAAGCTTTCAGATCAGCTGTTGCCATACCTTTGGTGAGGCTATTTTGATATAGACAATAATGGGGGCCAGGGAAGTCTTTGCCAGCTGAGTAGGGTGGTTTATAGTGTCTGCATCCAGCGCCACCAGCTGGAGGGTGCGGGCCAGCTCGAAGATACGCTCGATCTCGCTCTGCACCTCAGCTGAAAGCCAAGGACACAAAAAAAGATGTCAATAAGGAAAAATAAGTAAATACATCAAGGACAGCAGGAAAATGACCTAACTAGATCGCTCTCTGAGGTGATACAGTACTGTATAACAGCCATACTACCTCTGCTTTGTGCATAAGTACATAACTGATGTGTTAGTACTTCATCATGCACGTCAGTTCCATTTATGCATCGCTAAATGGAGCAGCGCAGCATCCTCATTCCTTTGCAACCTCCCAACATTCAGAGTCCCCTCCTGTGCTTCTGATGATTATTTTTCATTCCAAGCTGCTGAGGAGGGAGGCACTTAAGAATGAGATGCATGTGGCACTTTCTAATTGCTGATGATAAGGGCACAATTTCTCACCATGAAAATAGAAGAGAAAAACAAAAATACAAACACCCCCATCAGAGAAATTAAGTGGAACATTAGTTCTTGTTAGCACTCCAAGGCCCAGTAGTAATTATTCTATCAGGTGAACTACTCAACTCTGTGGACTGCTTGAGTGTTTTGTTTTCATTGTTCCTCAACAACACCCTTTAAAAGCTTTGTATTTTGTGTTTTGAGTAAGGTTGTATAAACATATTTTTATCAGCCTGTTGACGTGTAAAGACAGAGATTAAAACCGGAAACTAGAATGTTCCCTGCCTGTCTGGTCAAACCTCAGCGCCTCCGAGGTGTATGTGCTGCCAACCCAGCGGCTGGGAGAGATAACGGGAGCAAGGCAATCTGCAGAGCGACAGAGGCCTGCACACAATTCAGCAGCCTCCAGAGGGCTGAAGGATAGAGAATTAAAGCTGGAGGCAGAAACACAGGGGCCTCCACACAGTGATAAAAACATGAACTTTAAACTCTTACAAAGGAATAGAAGGCTAGACTTCCATTAACCTCAACAAACTTCTGCAAATTTGGATTTGACTGCAGAGAGAAACTTGCCACCACTAGAGGAGAAAAAGTGCAGCTTCTTTAGAGGCGATCCCCGAGTGAAAGTGCAGACATACATAAATGGATAGCATAAATACGTAAGTCATAAATGGACCAGTTCATTCCTGTCACATTTAAAAGCAGGTACCAGCCACCCTGCTGCCCTCCTATGGATCTATTTCTGCTTTGGTTTTGTAATTCTTCCCTTTTTGTTAGAGACTACAGGCTGTCATGTGGACGCATGAGGAACAGAGAAACTGACAGTGCAAGCAGACAGGCAGACAAACGGTGTATGAGCAGACGATGCATAAAGTGAGACGAAAAAAATGGAGGAGGGAAGGAGGACAGAGACTTCATTGTTTTGTCACAAGGAGAGCATACGTACCCAGTACGTCTGAATCAAAAGAGGGTGGTGGAGGAAGGTGGGAGAGAAGGTTGGGCATGTGGGGAGGACGGGTTGGTGAAGGGCAGAAAAAGACAGGATGAAGAAAGACAGAGGAGGCCAGATCAGAGTCAGGCAATCAGAAAAAAAAAGTATAAAAAGGGAAAACATGACACTTTCAGGTCTCTATGGATGGTGTACGACAGTACCTGTATAGTCTTCTTTCTCTTTATACCATCTAATATGGAGCTACAGTATGTCAACTATTGCATATTTTAAATCATCTATTTAAAATTTCAGCTAGCCCCCATACATTTTATTGTCATTTTTGGATCAAAATGAAAGGCTGTCACAAGGTTGTAGGCTTAGTCCAAATTATTCAATTATATATATTCAATTACTTTTTTTGTAAACCTGTTTTCACGTGTGATTCGAATTGGAAATGTTTAGATTTTGCAGCGAAATAGATGTGCATGAATAATAATATAATATATAATATTCTATAATTTGAACGGATCAAATGTAAAGACAAAATCCACGAATCAATCAATCAAATGAAGAATAATTTGCACTGAGTGACATATTTTAAAACAAGGAATACAGCCAGTAGTATAATATGAGCCGCACACAGCATCCTGCTTCAGTGAACGCTCACTAGAGCAACTAATGTTTATTATTACACTGCTGAAAATAGACCCAAACAAATGCAGTATAACCTCTTGCTTGAGTGACATTTGGTAAAACAACAGTTACCAGCTGCTACGCTGTCTATCTAAATAAGTAACAGGGAACACTCAAAGCTATAAGGACATGATACACAAACAGTGAAATGTGTTTAAATGGATGCTATCTGACAGGATGTGATGAACAGAGATGTTTTCTGCTTGTAAGTCCTCTTTAAAGATCTGTCAAACATCATATTTCAGATTAAACGTGGCTGTGTGTTGTCTCACCCAGGCTTGAGCGGGTGTTGGAGCGCTCGATGATGGTGTGTTTGCTGGGGTTGTTGAGGACTGACCGTTTGGCCAGGGAGATGTCTGCCGTTACCCGTGTGATGGATATCCTGAGACAAACGCACATCAAGCACACCAGCCGTTACCATGCTAGTAAACAGAGACCACCTGAGAAAGTGGATAATGGATAGTTTCGTTCTTACCTGCCCTCAAACTTGTGTTTCAAAAAGTCAAAAAGCGCTTTCTGCATCATATCTGTCACCTAAAAATGACACATAAAGGGGTAAGACGACAAAAAAAAAAAAACAGAAGAAAAAACTTGCATGTAGTTTGTGTGTACCTCATATCCTTTGAGTGACGGCCCCACGAGGATGATGGGTCTCATGGAGGGAACCACGTCATAAGGAGGGACATGCTCCATCTGAGCCGGGGGAAACACAGCACCAACACTAGGGTGAGTCACGTTGTCATGCTGTGAGTGAACTCAGAACACACATCAGCACAAGAACCTGACGTTCAGTCACATATGAATCAACACTGAGGTCCTCTCTGTCCGCCTGTGAGCTCAAACACTGATGGATGGCGAGTTTCAGGCGCCCGGGTCCATTCGTTTCATTTACCGGGGTGTGAATGTTAGAAGGCGAGGATCAATTTCTCACAGAAAGCACTTGCCTGTTTTTTTTTTTTTTTTGTCTGCTGTCTCTCACATAATTAAAATGTCCATAATTAAACCCGAGTGTCAGGAGAGCTCTTAGGACTGTGCTGCTGCGTTAACACAGACGTCATGCTTCACACTCACATCAGCACTGGGTGTGAGATGTCCAGTTATTTCTGCCAGTGATTACTGAAGTGTGATTTTCAACCAAAAAAAATATTTTTTTTCTATATGTGGGAGTAACTTTCCGTTATTCTAAGAAGTTAATGCTTTTATTTTTTTTCTGGTTGATCAATTAGGCTGGAAATCCTGTGAGTAACTTTCAGGTTGATTGTCGATTTTGGTGACCTTTGTAGACGAAGCGAGACCTCTTAATCTCTTTGCTGATTTTGTCTTTTACATGTTGTTAACAAAAAAAATCATACTATTATTCTTTTAACAGTTCAATTTAGTATGCATCAACAACCTTTGCGATGGAAAATGGAAAAAAAGGTCTGTTTCTGCAGCACATTTGTTCATCTCTTTGTCTAAAACCCTGCAGATCAGCTTCAAGCCTTGAAAATACCTACATAGACTTTATGCTGGTGGCCTGTTTAGCTTTTTTAGCCCACACAGAGGCATCAATATTCATTTCAGTCTTGTTCAGTCAATATTTCTGCTATTTTAATACCCAAAGGAACACATACATATTTAAAGAACAGAGATACCTATACATACTCTAGCATGTGGCTTTTCTTCAGTGATTTACACTGAAAATGGAGACACCAACAACAGCTGCAGAGACTTCCATATAACACCCACACATACACTAAATACATACTGCAGTGCATGCACTTTAGACTTATTTGTACATTATGATTCATGAATGAATCATCCATGAGAACGCCATAAACATTTGTTCTCTTTAGAGGCGTTCGGTTCTCCAGTGTGAATGAGGTGAAAACAGTCACACAGCCATATATATATACTCTAACAGCAGTGAAATTGGATGATTTTTCTGATCTGTATTCTCCTCGGAGCGTGCTGCACTGCTCTTGAAGCATGAGATAGAGCTGGAGTGCTCCAGTACATTACATTACATAAAGAGCACGGCGACGGAAGCTCATTTCACCTCATTTGTATTCACAGTGGCTAAAAATACATATTTTAAAAGTTTCCAAATGGCTCTTGTCTCTACAGGGGCAGAGCTGGAGCCCTGAACATAACAATAGTGCTCATTGGTTTTGAATAACAGGAGCACAGAGTAAAGTGTAGTGTGCTGAGTAACAGGGAGGAGGCTGTACCGATTACAGATCTGGATGAGAGATCAATATTACACTTTATTGTGACTTATGAGCAGCTATGTTTAGATATTGTGGCTCACAGATGTTTAATAGCAAGGCAGATATTTTGAGATTAAATGCTAAGTGCTGATTAATGTTGGACAAAATAGTTTTCTAGATAGATAGATA